AGCGAGAGGCAGGGGACACCATGGACAGGTCTCCAGTTCATCACATAGAGATACTGTAAACAAGACAAACAACCATTCACTCTCTCACTCACACCTCATGACAGTTTAGTTACCAATCAGTCTAACTTACATGTTTTTGGTCTGTGGGAGGAAACTGGAGTACCCAGAGAAAACCCAAGCATGCACGGAGAGAACAAGCAAACTCCACCCAGAAAGGTCCAGAGCTCAGATTGGAACCGGCAACCATCTTGCTGAGAGGTAACAGCTCTACCAACTGAGTCACCGTGCTGCCCACTTTGACTAATCTTTAATAAAGTCATAAATACAAAAAATATGTATTTCCCCTCTCAAACTGTGATAATCCTTGGCTGTAGAAAATATTTAGTGAAGCAAAATGATAACACATTGTGAGGCGAATGACAAAAACAGAGCCATTTTACCAAAATAAAAATCTCTCAGGTAAAAAAATAATTTCACACAAAAAATATTTAAATTAAAGTAATGCAGGTAAAATAAGAAGCATTTTGTTGATGAGCAGATTGTCATTGGGTTAAAAAACAATCTTAAATGTCGATAGGCTATGTTTTTTAATGCTGATTAAGATATCATGAGCAAAACCCCAGTGGTTTCGATCATGTCCAAGCTTGTGACGAGAAAACAACGAATAAAACAAGTCACACGCTGGATGAAATGTAAATGTGAAGACTTTGATGAAACTGATAGTAACCAGAGGAAGACCATCAGCTGGACCAGCAAGGCTTCTCTGCTGTTTTTTTATTTTTTACTAAGAGCTGAGATGTTCTCAGCAAGCTTAGCTGGTCACCTTATCCTAGTTTGACAGAGATGATACTTTACTACAAACAGGACCCAAAGCTTTGTGGAGTGAAAGACATTGAGGGTGTCACTAGATGATGAAAGATAAATGTCTGTCTCCAAGTTATTTATTGACCTAAATGCAGGGCTTAATTTGAGCCAGATCCTGCCAGAACATGATCTGGGAACTCTCTTATTTTGACAGGGTGTATAACAGTAACTGTTTGCTTGGATCCGGTAACTCTCAGGCTTACTAATAATAAAGTTATGAACAAATATGACTGCCTTGGACAAATAAAACTTATATTGGATATGTAAACTGAAAAAAAAAAAAAACATAAACACTCATTTTAAACACAACAGCCACTTACGAGCTTCTTAATATCACATACGAGCTGCCCCTTCAAGAAGCATTTCTGCCTCTACTCGTAAAAAAATTATCTGCCCCTAAAAGAGTGCTGGGGGTGAGTGCAGAGCTAACCAGACAGTCACACACAGGCAGGAGCTCACAGGAAGCAGCAATGAACAGACGGAGGAGATGCTTGGAGGTTTCACATGTGGAGTCGGCCAGTGAACTCAGCAGAGAAGAGTCGACTCAGAACTGTCAAGTAAGTGGGGTTAGAATGCTTGACAGAAGCGGAGTGTTTACAAATGTAGGTAAACATAGATGTTTAACAACCTGTTAAAATACACCAAAATGCAAGAAATCTCATCTACTTTACTCAAAATTTTCTGGGGGAGGACTCCCCGCCCCCCCGAGCTGGCCCGCCCACTACTTGCATTCCAGCACTGATCGGTTTACAAATTAAGCCCTGCCTAAAAATGTGTTCTTCCAAAACTAAAAGTTAGCACATTAGTTTACATCCTGTAATTTTCATCTGCAATTAAGATCCTAAAACTATAAGACATAACTGGCTAAATACTTCCTATCGTGAAGTGAAAAATCATGTTTTAGTTTCATAAAAATGAATAGAGGTGGAAACAAACAGTCACACGCTAAACTCAAGCTGTTCAGTTCTCTCAGAGATACAGAGGAAGACGAGATTTTGTCAAATTCACATATCTTTATAAGACAGGACAAAATGGAAAAGGAGAGTCTGATTGTTTGAAGACATTTTCTTAAAGAGAGTCACATTAATACAAAGATCTATCATGGAATATCAGTATTTTATATACTGCAGCTGTTATACCACATTTTTATATTTTGTAACGTGTACATGGTAATATGCCAAGTTTGTTTCAAAAAGTGTTCCGTTAGTTCATCCAAGAAAACGTAAAAAAAAAAAAAAACTTAATAAACAATATTCAACTCACCATGAAAGGATTACAATACCCTGCAAATGCTCACGGTCTGTGTCATAATGTCTTTAAGCGTTTATTTTTACCACAAGAGAATACACAAAAACTCAATACTTTGGGTAGCTCAATGGGTTGGATTCTGCTTGTCATAGAAAACACATGAAATAACCAAATGTTCATTAATGCTTTACATAGTCCCAAGTAGAACAAAGACAACACTGTGAGACTGTGAGACTTCATGGTCAAGATAATAAGGAGGATGTGCGAAGAGGTCCACTCTGAAATGCTTCACATTCTGACACAAGGTGAAATAAAATTGTTGCCTGAGGCTTGTCGTCTAGTCTGAAAATCTTCAAGATGTGTAAACCGAGCTCATTTAGTCAACTGAGCGTGTTTTTACGAGCTGTTCCTTCAAAATGCGAACTGTTACCCAGCTCATTTAATACAATAATTACACTTAAAAAAACGTCTTTGCAGTGACATAGCTGATTCGTTTAAGTAATTATTGGTTTTCATGTGCAGACACAAATTGACACAAGTATCTGCGTGGTCTGGTGACACCTCTCTGATTGTGATGGAAGAGGTTTGGATCCAAACAACAGGAGGTGTAAAATACTCATCATTTATGAACAGCTGACAGAAAAGCAGGAGATTAAAGATGTGTTTTAAGTTTGGCATCTATTTTTTGTTTGTTTGTTTACAAAGAGCAAAGTCACAAGATCTTAATGGTATCACCCAGCACTATGTAAAGTTGGTTACACAATTTATGCCAATGCACTTTTTTTACGTTCTTGAGGCTGCGGTATCTTGGTGATCAGATCCTGATGTTAGAGCCCAGGTTGCGTCGGAAAGGGCGTTCGACGTAAACCAATTACTGAATCTCCCATACGGAGTTAGTTCAATGTGGTGACCCCCCGCACAAGAGAGCAGCTGAAAGAAAAACAACATACTATTTTGCTTTCTTGCTGAGTTCAATGTTTTTGGTTGGCTATGTAAGGAAACATCAGTAGCCATTAGCTGTTTGCTAGCACAGTATTAGAAAATGGGTTACTGTTAGCACTTTACAATAGGCAATGCTAACTATGACTTTTGGGTAATAGTGGATAGGACATGGAAAAGCTTTGATGTGACCACTGTTCACACTTTGAATTGATGTAACAAAACAAACGAAGATAAGTGGGGATAGATCAAATAAAAGTCCGCTTTTGTACTGTTAGCATAATGGCATTTCACTGCCATGAAGGCATTTTTGTCTCTTTTTTTTTTTCCAACAAAGAATTTCTGGCATTTTGAGAAATTAAATCTTTGTGACTTTTATAAAATTTATATAACTGCGAGTACTAAAATATATGGTACAATTAAAAAAATGTATAGCAAGGCAACAAAAGTACTTAGCCCAGCATTTTATCGGTCATTCCTGCTGTTAGACATGCTGTCCAGGTTTGCGAGTGAATGAATGTCTTTTAGTGGTCATGTTGTGAAGAGGTGGGGTACACCCCTGATGGGTTACTTTGTCCATCCCAGAACCAACAGAAAGACACACAACCATGAACACACACTCACACCTAAAGGTCAATTAAGAATATCAATTAACCTAAAATGCACGTCTTTAGGCCTTGTGTATGATACTTTAGATGTTTCTTTTTCTCTGTATGCCAGGCTACTAGGTAGCAAGAATGTCCATATTAATGACATGAAAATACAGAAAAAGAACATGTTTAGCATGGCTAAAGAGTCTTCCAAAACTTGTTTTTTTATTGATACTGTTTTCAATTTCCTCCTTTATTAACCATTTCAGCACACGATCAAAGTTTAAAAGGCAACAGGATCTGGATAAAGCAAGACAAATGAAGAAAACAAAACCTGCTGTTGGGTTTCTAGTGCACAAAGTGATAGTGAGAATGTGCAAAATAGGCTTCTACATCTTTGTTTCTGAAAAACTCTGTGTCTAGTCCAGAAAAGTTTTCAAAAGTCTTCTCTTTAGGAATGCGTTGAAAGAAAATGTCTATGTTTCTCACCAAAAACTCTGAATGTGTATGGTTGAGACGCAACAAAAGCAGAAGATATCCATTTAAAATATATTTATATATCCAGTGTAATGTGAATAGGGCCTTAGAACTTGGGTGGAGAACCCGGAGTACCAAGAGAACACCTTCACATGCAAACCCCACAAAGAAAGGATCAAATAAACTGATAAATAAAGCACATTTAAGACAACGCAAGTTGAACCAAAGTGCTGTACAATAAAATAAAGCAACCCAAGAGCAATGACATAAAAAGCCACATTTAATGTGCTGCTATTTAGAGTTTATCAATTGGTCCTGAACAGCCCTCAAAAGCTTTGGAAATGGTTTCTATATGAGAATAAAAATAAAATTCTGAAGTTAAATGAAAAAAAGGAAATCAAAAGAAGGAGTAGTCTTTAGCTTCTTAATTGTTTTTATCTGTTTTTGTAGGATTTCTGAATTAGTATGCATTATATTAATTTTCGGTGATGTTTTGAATGAGAAATATCTAGCTTAAACTATATGGCTCTTTTTTTTATGCTAAGCTAGATAAACTGCATTCTGAATGCATCTTCAATACATATGAAACAAATACGTTTTTAAAAACTGTTCCTCAAAAGCTCATAGCAAGAAAGCAAATAGACATATTGCACAAAACATCAACCTGCTCCTTTAAAGAGGCGACACAGCTGCAGCTCACAAATGATGAATATGCACTCCGCGACAAAAATGTTTTCTTTAGCAGTTTCACACCAAGAAGCTTGAAAATGACAAAGCATGTGTTTGTGTTTTAGGGGTGTGGCATGAGATATTACTTATCAACTCATTATTCTTGCTATAAAAAGGAAATGAACTGGAACGTAAAAGTGAGGTTTCAGCACCTCTTGGGGAAGTGTTGAACCATGGCTCTGAGTCATCCCACATCCTCCCAGGTCTGTGATTCAGTGTCAGTGGGCTGTATGAACTGTAGTCACTGTCATTCACCTTCATCACATGTGATAACTTCATCAGCACTGACATGGATAAATTCCCAAGAGAAACCTCCACCGAATTAGGATGAAAACAAAGACCATAGCTTAATATGTTTGCAACCCAGATCACAGTTAGAGAAAAAAAAGAACCAAAGTAACATCCAAAAAAATAAGTTAACATAATTCTGACATATAGAATTCTACAATATGTACATTATTTTTTAAATTAAAATAGATTTGTCAGTTGTCTGATTGGGTAGGTCCTCTACAGAGCACCGCTTTACTCCGATTCTCCCGAGTGAGTTCACAGTTCCCTTTAAAATCTCAGTGCCATCCAATCAGAGAGCAAGTAAGGCTTCCATGTCAAGTCCCTGCCAATAGTTTGTTGATGGCATCTTCCGACAGGGCCAAGCCCTTAGCAACAAAAATGGCAGACCCTCCAACTCCTCGACTAAAAGAAATAAATATAAAATATATGTAATATTTCTATATATATTCATAAAACCAAAACCAGGAAAGATTTCAATTCTGATGGGTTCTCGCCATTTCCGTTATGCTTTATCCAGCCCACATCTTGTCCTTTCTTCACTTTTTGTGTATTTTTGCAGTTTTCTTGAAGGGAAAAAAAACAAAAACTTTTTTCTTTAAACATGTACATCTTATGCGCAAGTAACCAAAATGTAAAAGTGTGTGTGATTTTTTTAGTTTTGTTTTAATATGTTTTATCCACTATATCCAAAAGTGTGGCAGGCACTTAAGTCCCTCCCAGACATAGCAGGTGTTGTTCGACAGTGGATCAGGTTGGTTTGGTTTTTCCTGGATTCATGTGGGTCATTCTGTCTTCTATGTCTCTGTCGATTTCGATGTTTGCTGACCAATTGGCCATCACCGGATTGCTGCTAGCCCAGGATGTCCAGGTAGACTGGGGTGGCTTTACCCATGGCAAACAGGACCTTCTGAATGTCCTTAATGTTCAGTCGTTGCTGTGGTTCTCTCTGCCAGCAGCCCAGCATGATATCATAAACCTCTTTAGGACAGATCCGTGGCCTCTCCAGCACCCGACCCTGGGTTATGCACTCAATAACCTGCAAAGGAGACAGAGCAGTGGAGTGAGACAAGTGGTTCTCAATGACTAATTGCTTTGCTTTGTCCATGATGAGAAAGTGGTGGCACTGAGCACACGGTCCTTTGAGATTTGAACTAATGAAACTGAGATGAAAAAAAAGCAAACAAAAAAACAGACTCGGCACTAAATATGTGTGGTAATGAAGGATGAGAAAGACTTATATTTTCTGTTCTATAGCACAAAATAACATTGACAATAAGTGGGGGTGGAAGTGAAAGCCTGATTGATCATTTCTTTGTCAGTCTTGTGCACCAATTAGCCAAATGACTTGCTGCTGTCATGACTATTTGACTTCATTATTTGTGTCAATTTCAGACCACTGTAGCTTAACATGATGGATAAAAATCTATTGGTGTTTATTGACTCAATGCATGAAAAACTGCTATGAAGCAATATTGTTTTGGTTAACACATCAGAAGAAAAAAAAAAAGAAATCCCCATAAGGCATTTTATGGTGTCAAGCAATTTCATGCTCTTGCAAGCTGGCTGCAAAAGAAAACAATGTTAGAACAAATAACCTGATTAGTAATCTACTAATATCTGAAACCTAATTTCTACAAAAATATAAAGGTGCAACAAATTTAATATCTTTTAACAAGTGAGCTATGTTAAAGTGTGTCCACAGTATAAATAGTAGAAGGAACAAATTATATAAAGACTATTGTTTGTCACACATTATCTTTACATTGTTATTTCTTTGTAGTGTTTTGCCACCGAAGGATGACAGACGTGGCAAATAAACTACTGTCAGGAGTGGCAGGATGGAGGATTGAGAAGAGCTTCTTTGCATAAATTCCTCAATAACAAACGGTACAATGAACGGGTTGTGGAAGCTGCAGTCTCCTGGCAACAAACTACAGAGGCTGACCGAGAATGCAGCTGATTTACAAGCATTATTGTTATCCAATCTGCCCAGCGACATTTGCAATAAGTGATATGTTTGGGTTAATTCAAGTCAGTTTGAATTCTTAGAGCTGTAATTTGAGAACTCAAATCTGCATTCTTAGTAGATTTATAGTGTTTGCATATGTCAGCTGCTTTGCAAATAGAAAAATAAAGTGACAGCACAGGACCCTTCACATTGGAACAAGGAACCTAAAAGGACAGACAAACTGTAGGACATCGACAATAACGTGCCCAGGCAACAAGGGCAATAATATTATTTTAAAAAAAGTTAAAATGTCCTTTTTCTGCTATAAGTATCCATTCATTAATTCAACCTTTATTTATGCAGATAAATCACAATGAGCCTTGAAGACTCATTTACAAGTGAGACTTGTTTGGACAGACAATAAAATGGTGAAAATTACAACATGGGCTTTGGAGGCAAAAAAAAATCCTAACACGCTCTTATCTTAATCTTTGGTTGAAGATTAATAGCCAAGTAAAAACCTTTTCTGCTTTGTTTTTTTTTCCATTCAACCTTTATTTATTCAACCTTACATTTCTATACTGATGACACAGTTGTTTATTGTCAAGCTTAAACAGTTGCTAAGACTTTCCAGCTTTTGCAATCTGCCTTTGACATTATCCTTATGACTTGCTCCATCTCAAACTTGCCCTAAATGCCGATAAAACCATAGGGATGCTTTTATCAAACAGGAAGTCGGTCCCAGCAGTTCTTCCTTTGATTTTATCCTCAAATGGTGTCCCTATTGAGTTTGTCGATTCCTATAATTATTTGGGTATCTTGGTCGACTCGCATCTCTCTTTTAAGCGTCACGTGGAAAACCTAGTAAGGAAACTGAAAGCTAAACTGGGTTTCTTTTTCAGAAATACAGTAGATCCTGTCTAACTCTGAACACTAGAAAATGCCTTGTAACTGCAACTTTCCTTCCCTCCATTGACTACGATGACATAATTTACATGAACGCTTCTACAAGCACCCTGCAGATGTTGAATGCTGTCTATCATGGTGCACTAAGATTCATAACTGGCTGTAACTACCGTACCCATCACTGCACCCTGTATTCACTGGTTAACTGGACATCATTAACTTCACGCAGACTCCCCCACTGGTACATTTTCATCTTTAAATCACTTCTTGGTCTGCTGCCTTCATACATCTCCTTCTACATGTCTCTGCGTGAGTGCAGCTACAGCGTGCGCTCTCAGGACATTATTACCTGCAGTGTTCCCTCAGTGAGGACTGAACTAGGCAAAAGGGCCTTCTCCTACTCCGCTCCTGTTTCCTGGAATATCTTGCAAAAAGATCTGAAGCTCTCGACCTTGACCTCTCTAAGTGACTTCAAACATCTGCTAAGTTCCTGGCAAAAACCAATGCAGATATGTTCCTGTTTTTAGTTTTCTACACTGCCTTATAATTTAGTCGTTTGTGTTTTTTTTTTTTTGGTTGTTGCTACTTTTCCTTTTGACTGTCCTTTAGGTTGCTACTTTTGTTTTGATTTGTAAAATTTTTTTTTAAAAATTAAAAAATTTGTATGCCTTTTTTAATGACTGTCTATTGTTGTCGTTGTTGTCCACTGTTGTCATCACTCTTTGTTAAGGAAATCAAGTCTCTCTTGTAAATGAGTCCTCGAGGCTCAATGAGATTAACCTGCCTAAATAAAGGCTGAATGAAAAAAAAAAAATTCAGACTAGCCACAGGGATTCATTTACAAGAGGGTCCTGTTCCAGGCAGAACAAATAAAGTAGTTTTATATAAAGAAGCTTGAACACTTAATTTATGTCAGATTAATGACACTATTGCGACTCCAAATGTCAAATGCACTCACCAAATCTGCTGCAACAATTGTAAACAAATCAGTGTACACACCGAGCCAAGCCTTTCAGAGTTTCAAGATTGCTGCATGGGAATACTTAATGCAAAACTGATGCTCAAAACTGCTTATTGTCTTACCCACCTTGAGTTGGACTGAAAACTAATGTTTAAATTAATAATAAGCTCTGATGTTTGGAAAGCTGTGGCAACTTGGTGCCTCTACGAGCACTGCCAGCATGTTGCTCTGTCATGACAATTTATTTCTACAACAACAACAAAAAGTTAGAGTTAGATTTAGAGTTCTTTAGAAACAATAATGGAAAATATGTTCAACATACCAAAAATGAACAATTCAGAGTTCATTGCATTGCCCCTGTCGGACAATGTCTCAGACTTTTTGTTGTGTACTTCATAAGTGAGTGGTGAGTAGTGGTTCGGCAATAGCTGATATTGTTTGTTTAATTCCTACAAAAAGTGGATATATGTGACATTATACTTTTATATGGATTCTGTGAGGAGAGATCATATCTCTCCAAATTTAGCTTCTCTCCACTGGCTCCTGTCAAATTCAGAATATAATTCAAAATCTTACTTCTAACCTAAAAAGCTCTCAACAACCTAGCTCCATGTTATATTACTGATCTTATTGCTCCATATTTTCCTAACAGAGCACTTTGCTCTCAGGCTGCAGGTTTACTTGTGGTTCCTAGAGATTCCAAAAACAGAATGGGAGGAAGATCTTTCAGTTATCAGGCTCCTCTCTTGTGGAACCAACTTCCAGTTTATGTCCATGGGCTGACATCTTGTCTGCTTTAAGATTAAGCTTAAGTCTTTCTTTTTTGATAAATCCTATAGTTAGGGTTGGCTTAGGTTTCCTGAGTTATTCCTTAGTTATGTTGCTATAGGCTGGAGGACAAACTGACCACATTTCTTCACTCTGCTGCTGTCTTTAGTTACTCTACCTGTTTCGTATTTGTAATTATTTCTATCCTTGACGTGTTTTTTTATTTTGGTCTTTTTTCCAATACGGTGTAGACCTGCACCTACACCTGGACCTGCCATTCTGTGTTCATTTGTGTCTCCTTCCTCTTCCTTTCAAACCCAGCCGGTTGAAGCACATGGCCACTAATCCTGGGCCTGGTTCTGCTGGAGGTTTCTTCCTGTTAAAAGGGAGTTTTTCTTTTCCACAGTTGCCTTTGTGCTTGTTCAGGATGGGAGACTGCGACAAAGTGAAGATTCAACGTGTCTGCTGGCTTCCTTCTTTAGATAGATAACTTTTACTAATAGGCTTTAGTTTGTAGGTGAATGTTTTTGTACAGTGCCCTGAAACAACTTCTGTTGTGATTTGGTGCTATTTAAACAAACTGAATTGAATTACAAAAAGTAGATATACTGTATGTGACATTATACTTTTACATGGATTCAGGGCCATAAAAAGCCTGGGCAAGAAAGTGCATGCTAATTTTAAACTCCAGTTCCACAGAGGAATGATAAAGCCCAGAACATAGCGGGGCCTGTTTTTAACAAGTTTCTGGGTAATAATTTATCTTTTTCATGGAGTGACTTGTGCTCATTTATAACGGTTGTAGTAATGTATCATGGCCTTACGCACTGAACATGTCAGAATAGCCCGACATTAAGTGGAATACTCCAGTCAAACCCAGCTGAAGATAAAATTACATTTAAACAAAAGGCAGAAGAGCCTTGTAGGAGCATTCAACTCATAACACTTGCACAAGTTGCTGACACTGATAAGTGTTTCACTCTTTGAAAATTCTAAGGAATGTGGAAATCTCTGTGTAAAGCAAAAACGGCATTAATGTACCTGTTGAAATGTTTGTAAATTATTTGCATAACAGATGCCGGGATATATTTTTTTTATTCTTTTGAGGACATTCTTGCTTTACAGGTGTAATCCTAATGGAATTTTTACTGACATTTCTTTAATGAAAAGAAAAAAAAAGCACAAGTGATTTGTTATATACCACCTTGTCTTTTGGCCAAGTGCCAATAATTTATTACTTTGCTGGACTGGGTTTTTGAGGATGAAGAAAACAAGAAAGCAATAAATTAAAATGGAAAATATTGGCACTGTCTCTTAGAAAGCTCAGTATTCAACTGAAGGTTGAAGAGAAATCTGCTTTATTCCCTATTCCATTAAATCTTAAAGGGAAAGTGTTTATGTTCTGCAATAAAAAGAGCTTCCATTCATCCATCCTTTTACTCTTGTTTATAGATGTGCTTGGGGCTTTTTTACCTCGTTGTTACCCAGTTGAAACCAAGGCTGCTTCCCATAGGTAAAGATCTCCCACAAGATGACTCCAAAGCTCCAGACGTCACTTTCTGTGGAGAACTTCCTGTACATGATGCTCTCTGGGGGCATCCAACGAATAGGTAGCATGGTGTGTCCTCCAACCTGAGAGAACATTACAAAAGATAGAGGAAGAAAGAGTTTTACTGCAAACAGAAATATATAAAGTACAGGTCAAGATGTTTGGTTACCCAAACAACTTGGACTGAATATTATTCTGTCCACAAAAAATCACTGACTCCTTAGATTTACCATGTATCAATCAATCAATCAATTGTATTTATAAAGCACCCTTCATACTAAAAGCAGCTCAAAGTGCTGTACAAAATTATAAACAATAAACCCACAAAATAAAAGCAAACAACACACACAAAATAAAATAAAATTGTATGGAAAATGTATAGACTGAACAGAAATGAACCAGTTCAGGAAATACAGTTAAAAGCTGTAATGCTGTGGTTGTTAACAATGATACAGCACAAGGAAATAATGAGGCTTTCGCTCTATTTTCTGTATGTTTACCTTCACTGAATGTAAAATAATTTAATTTATGGTATTAAAATACCTCTTTGCTTTGATGTAAAATAGCAAACTGCAATCCCTTTTCTTCCATATTTTTAGCCCCAACATTAGGAAAATGAAAGTATCAGAGCACTGAATGAAACATTTTTATTATTTTTTGTTGCATGAGGCTCATATAGCTGCTAACAGAAATGTAAATGTTGAGGTTCCACATATCACCATCAAAATCTCTTCATAACCATAAGAGGGTTTGTGGGATGAAGGGTAACAGTCAAGGGAGAGATCAGTTTGGAAGGGTTTTTTTTATATCTTCAAACCATCCGAACATAAAATGAAGTTTCCTCTGGCTGTAAATCTTGTGTCAATGGAAATTAATCGATTGAACAGTTGTTCATTAATCTGAAGTTTTCATTTGCAAACGTTCTATTTCAGATCCAATAACCATTTGTGTCAGTATCTGTGCTTTGATTATGACAGTCTTGACCTGGACAAGACTTTTCTTTTTTGGAACACTTGCAACAACAGCACATGAGTTAAAATATACCAGATAATCAATAGTCAAGCCTGATAGGGCTGCAGACACAAAGTAGTGGATATTTTTGTAGTTCAAGTTCAAATTCAAGTCAGTTTATTGTCATTATCATCACATGTGGTACATGAGGTGGAACAACATTATGTACACAGGGTACAGTTACACCCCAAAATAGCAGAATATAAAGTATAAAAATAAACTCTAAATAATGACCTAAGATATACACTGATGTACTCTAAACAAATGCCAAACGGTATGCCAAAAGATCTAAGTAGTACTTTAATTGATTACAAATACAGTAGTCCCTCGCTACTTTTTTGGTTCGTTTTTTGCGGACTTGCCCTATTGTGGTTTTTCAAAATAAGATTGGACATGACACACAATTGGCTGATGGATGGATGAGCTGCATGAACGGCATGGAAATTTTATTTTAAATATACTATTTTAAAGTATTTAGCACCTGCTGCGCCTGTGTGCAGCCCTAACTGCAGGATAAGCTTCCTCTTGCATCTGATCAGCTGTTCTCAGTGCAGAGCGGAGAAGTGGGCGTGGCCAAGAATGCTTGCAGGTGGCTGAGAACAGCAGAGGCAGAGAGCTGAAATCATGACATTCTGTGCTCTTTTAGAGCATTTAGAGTTTAGAAACATTGGTTAGAATATTGCAAGAGTGTGGGAAGGGTTTA